TAAATCTCATATTCTGTAATTCAATTGATGTATAAATTTCTTGAAACTGTGACGTAGATTCCTCTTTCAGTTACAGAGTTCATGGCCATTTTGTCGGTACCACCATCATCACTGCCTTCCACCTAATGCAGTCTGCTTACGATTGCGCACAATCGCCAAAGAGGATGCAGTCGGCTATGATTGGCTCTACCTTACCAGATCGACATATAGAAACCAGAGACACGCATTGGTCCATAGTTCCACTATTGACTAAAGATCAGGTATAGACAGTGTCACAGACGAGGTATATGCTATATATACGTTTGTGATCCAACCTAAACTTAATCGGTAATGCAGAAAGTGATATTGAACGGTAAATGTTTTTCGCAAAGTTTTAATATTTGAGTTGTCAAAAATCTTGTTTACAATCATTGTTTCTATGTAAAATGAAGCTATATGCAAAATTTCAGTTCAAGTAGATTCGTTAATACGTTTTTGGATTAACGATATAATAAAAATTTAAGGAATAATAAAAATTTAACTCTGCATCCATTTAATGTGTATGACGAAACTAATATCCTCAAAATGCACGCGATATAACTACTTTCATTTATTTTAAGACAATTCGTTCTTTTGTAATCACTATTCGAATGAGTAGTTGTGTGAATGTGTAAGTCCACGAAATTTGGAGAACATGACGATTTCTCATATCTCTTTCTCGTAATTTCTTTTTATTTTCTGTTGTTATTAACCTGCTTGTACTTATAACTTGTTTTGTATAAAATAATTGTATAAAACAATTAATATTATATTTTATATATTTATTTTACTAAAAAATATGTAATACGTATTTTTAAATGATGACATTAAAAAAAATTAATGAAAACACGTGACATACGACGTGCTCGTTCATAACCACAAAAATAAATTATCCTTAGGTTTGTTAAGACTCTAGAGCAAAATGCTGATCACGTAGGTTGGCTGTAAATACAGTTCCTACAAATAGGTTGGCAGCAGTGCGTTGCCTAGTGATGGGCCACGTGCGGAATTTGTTATGACAGTTCGTGGAAAGTCATGTTTGCGAGAATTGCATTTTCTGGTAATATTTGATTGTTGTAGATCATCACCGTGGCCATGTATGATATCATGTTTCTTATCCTATTTTTTTTACATTAGTGAAAAATTCATTTCATTTCATTACAATTTTATATTAAGAGCGTGCATTTATTATTAGCTTAGTAACATTCCTAAGAAATGATTATAATAAATCGTCATTCGATTCAACTTGTTAATTGTATTATTTATTTATACGCAATTGTTTGCGACAATTCGTTTTTTTCATTCAAAATTAACCATAAACAACTAGCAAAAAAGTGAGGTTATATTTGTAACTGAAAGCAACTGCTAGTGGATGAAATAGCCACTGATATTAAGTTATCTTTTTTATTAGAAATATATGATGTAAACAATATTATATTTTATAAAAATGATTAAAGAGTATAAGTAAAACTACGAATACTAATCAACAATAGTTTGATGAATTATGAAAATGTTTAACCTTCTGATGTCCCCATTTATCTTATAAAATTTTTTTCAACATTCTTAGGATTTTTATTTCTATGATACCTTTTCCTTCCTAATACATATTAGTTCTAAATGTGTCTAATCTTGCCTCTTCTATATAAATTAGTATTAGACTAACCACATTGTCCAATACTTTTAATTTTTTTCTTTTTAACGTTACAATAAGCCCTTGTAGACTGTAAAGTACTGATCAGATCAATATTATCGGATCAATACTGTTATGATTATTTAAGCTGTCTAAGGTATCAAAAATATTTGATACTTTTATGAAATTATAGATACCAGAATATCAATATTTCTGTGAAATCAATATCTGTTCTCGTCAAAGTATATTTGTTTGATATCTATATAGAGTTCGACAAAAGGTAATATAATTAATCAAGTAACTGAAGCAGAGTTTGTGCAATTTAATCAATGATGAAGATCATAATTACACAAATTCAAACTATTAATCACAATTACCAAAATAATCAATTAAATATTAAATGATTTTGATTATTAAATATGAAATGACTGATAATGCTTGAAAACAAATTAACATGGTGACTGGCACTTACACATTTTGTCTGCGAAACAAAGTACTTCATTTCTACAAGATATTACATTACAATAAAGTATTATTTATGTTATTCAGACTTCTTTGTTAATGATATTTATTTCCTTTTAATTGGTGTAAAACATTTATTGAAATATTAATACATTAGTAGTATTAGAACAATCTAGCAAGTGCTAATTGCGAATCACTTCAATTCCTTTTAGTACGTTGTCGCCTATCAAACGAAAGGTTATCGCATGAACAAATCGAAGCCGAATGTATCGTAATATATTGCTGACGCTGTTAAAAGAAGAAGAGGAGGATGAGGAGATACTCGTCGCCATTTTGTCGAAAAGGAAGAAGAGAAAAATAAAACATATTTATAAAGATCGAGATAAGGAGGATCATGGAAATTCGTTTATAAAAAATCATTTGCTGTATGACGAGGAAACATATAGACAGTTCTTTAGATTAAATAAAAAGCAAGTGGATTTCGTTTTAAATTTGATCGGAAATAACATAAAAAAGATATCATCCAGAAGAGTGAAATATCCGATTTCACCAGTGGAAAAGTTGCTTTTAACATTGAGGCAAGTTAATTTCTACGTTGTTTATGTTGAACTAAGTCAATAACGATGAAAAATTGTCGACATTTTAAATTTTAAATTATTATTAGCTTCGTTAAGAAAAATCGCATAACAATCCATTTGGTTTTATTTGAAAGCATAAACCAATCGTGACAATCCTAAGTTTCTTTTTAACACTAACACGATCGACATTACTTTTTAGTATTAAGAAATTAAAAAAAATTGTAGGATTAAAATTAAAAATTAAAAAACCAGATCAAAATAAGATAAATTTTATACACTGAAAAATTTTTTAAGAAAGCGGAAGATCAAATGTTAAATGTAATATATTTCGAATTATAGTCATTCGTAAAAGAAAGATGTTTTTGCATTATGATCGAAAAATATTTTTCGCGATTATATATCTGTGTTTATTGTATTTTTCGAGACAATAATCCCTTAAAACTTGTGCAATCTTTTTTTTTATCACTTTATTGTACTTTGGGGACGTTAGGATTTCTTGAATCTAATTTTTTCGAATTTATGTTACGATGGACGTTGGGAACATCAACGTTAGGACCACATTTTATTTTCAAATGTCCTAAACTTATTATCGCCTTCCACTATAAAATAAAATGATATTCTTGCAGGTTTCTTACCACGGGAGAAACGTTCAGATCACTATCAGTCGCATTCAAGATATCATACGGTTATATAAGCATTATCGTGAGGGATGTACTAAAAGAATTATACAAGAAATTGGTGCCTATATTTTTACCCGAGCCTCAGATCTCCGACTTTGAAAAGATTGCCAACGATTTTACGACGAAATGCAATTTTCCAAATTGTATCGGGGTAGTAGGTGGAAAGCACGTTCGAGTATTGTCCCCTAAAAATAGTGGATCATTATACTCTGATAAGCATTATTTTTCCATCGTATTATTAGCTTTAATTGACACTAACTGCAGATTTGTCATCGTCGACATTGGTTCTTACGGCGAGGAACGAGAGAGTGGTATCTTCGAGAAGTCGATTATGGGTCGTCACGTGTGTTCGGGGGAATTTCGCTTTCCGGTGGAAAAGTCACTTCCGGCATCCGACATGGTGGTACCACACGTGATCATAGCCGATGAAGCTTTCAGGCTCAGTGACCGTGTAATGAAACCATACCCAAAGGATCAAGCCGCTCAAGACATCACGAAAGCAGTTTTCAACGATCGATTATACAAAGCCACAAGGATATCTGAAAATGCTTTTGCAATTTTATGTCAGAATTTTCGAATACTTTGTTCGCCGATTGCGGTGCTGCCGGAAACTACAAATCTGATCATCACTGCAGCATGTTGTTTCCACAATATGTTACGTGATGAATATCTTAGTAGTGATGTCTCTCAGACAGACAATCAGGAAACGAGCACAAGTGTTAATAATATGTTACCTTTGGCTAGATCAGGTGGTTTCAGCAATGCAGAGGGTTTTCAGGTACGCGATAAATTTCGACGTTACTTTAACACACCGCAATGTCCGACACACTGTGAAGGAAATAGTAAAGATAACGTGTAACATTTGTGAAAATAAACACGATTAAAATATATTGAGTATTTATACAATAAGAATACGCGATAATATAATGGATAGGAAATGCATACATAGGTACGTT